TTTCTATGAAGAGCTTTTCCTCTGATCCTCATATGCCAAAAGCTAGGGTGTTTTTCCTCTCTTTTCTGCCTAACTTAGCTCCTTGTCTGGAAATTAAGCAACAAGACTCTACATACAGAATAACATTTTGACTTCCTAAGGAAATACCACTGAAACACTTAGTACTGTTTGATACCTCTCTTGGGAAAGCAAAACACATTTATTAAATCATGCATGCTAACTCCAAAAGCCAACAGAAGGAAATAACTGTTTTATTCTTTGCACTGAGGTTTTGTACAAACAGGTACTGTCACGGATTGCTATGCACTGATCCTTCTTTGCTTATGCAGCTTAAAAGGATGTTCCGGTATTATCACCAATACTGTATTTTGCAATCTATCCTTCACGTTCCAGTTCTATCACATACTTGTACAAATTACCTGCTGCCATGCTATTTAAACAAAAAACAAAACAAAAAAAACCCAAACAAACAAACAAAAAAAGGCTCTGATTTCAAATAAGTTTCAAAATTCCCTAGGCAATTATATGCTAATTTCCAGAATACACTTCCCCTAATATTAGTATTGCATGATGATGAAACAGATGATCTTGATGAACACTTTTGTGCAACCAGAGAGGCTTTTTTTTGTTTATCTTATTTCTATAGAATAACAAAATTGATTACATGGTGGGGCTTTGAGAGATTCGCACACATATCCAGCATACCTTGCTTCAGCTGCCAGCTTCAAACTCTTGGTCTTACTCATTTTCCAACATGGAATTATGAAAGGCCACATCACTCCTGGCACATATTACTGGTCACGCTTTTCAGCATGACTTGCCATAGCTACGGCAGCCCTCTGGACCCAAGGCAACCCTCAGACATGTGCACTGGGTGCCATCAACAACCGTCTCGTCTCCAAGGAATCACATGGAGTAGCCAAAAAAGGAGGAACAGGATTATGCAAGACTTATGGCTGCTGGGAATTTGAGATTTCAGCGGGCTGTAATTTCTCCCACTTCCAGACACCTATGTCCCCAACTACATGGTTCGCTAAATTCAACCTTCTTTCCCAGATCCTACAAGAAGACAGAGACAGACACTAAGCCACAAGGAACAGCTAGCATAGATCAGCTGGACTGTGGGGCCAGAGAATCTATAGTGCCAGATTAAATACGAGATTTTCAACTGCCTGAGAAGTTTGCTTCAACACTTCATATGATGAGTAGGAAGGTGCAAAAAAATCTTTCTCTTCTGCAGAGCAAGTGGAAGGAGGACATTAATGTTCAAATGTATAAGCACATTCTTCACAGCACTGTGAACTAATGCATTGCTTCAATTAAAAAATACATGCAAAACTTTTTTGGTACTTTTCTTCTTCACAGTTTCAGTATTGTCTCTTGCAGCATATTTTTTAATAAGTCATTTAGAACATTCCAGTACTAAACTCCCCCATTACTGAGATTATGGTAATACCACAAACAGGAGGTAGGTAGGGCCTGATGGCAAAAGCATACCAGCTGGATTAGAAGCAGGAGAAGCAGCGGCACATTTACTCCCCACTTGTAATATTCAATTCCACACCTGTAATTTCCTAGAGGACAATATACTGTCTGAGGAATTATAGTCAGTGATCCTGAGAGTTAGAGTTCAGATTTTAAACCGATAACAGGAATTCTTGCTTCAGATAGAGAAATTCTTAAAAAATTTCCATCATCATAAGTGCACACACACAGAGAAAGAAACTACAGAAATGACATTCTAGGCATTACTAAAGAAGCCAATCCAAAATTATTTCATACTGACTTCAACAGATACAGATTGGGATTGAAATGAACATGACAAGACATCCTCACCACTTTTTTATTATACTGATGGCCTGTATATAATGACTCACTTCCAAAAAATGTGACAATAAAGTTTCAGGACTTAATACTGATCAATTACATTTTTAATTCAAAACAAACAACAGCAAAAGAGACTATTCCACTCATCTATCAGACTACGGAATGAGGAGGAAGCACACATCCTAATGTGAAATATGTAGTGGCGTTGTGTCTTATGCTCACCAAAGGAAGCCAATGTGTAACACTGAGGTAAAAACCCCAACAATATCTATAGTTATTTTTTTAAGTAAAATTGCAACCCTTCAAATCTTTGTTACAGTAAAAAGAAAAAAAATTCAAAGGAAGCAAAAGGTCCTCTGCTCTGTATAACTGTATTTCTGATTTGACAGCTACAATTATAATCATTCAGACATCTATTTCCCACAAACTCTCCACAGCCATAACCTTTAGTGATTAATTATAAAGTTCCAGGAGCAATAGTACACAGACTAATTTCCTAAAACAATAAAAGACAGAATTTCTCATTTGGAGCTAAATGAAACACGAACAGGTTGTTATTCATGCTGAAATCTAGATGCAGAGTCATGTTGCAGCCATTACAGAAGCTATTAAACACAACCTCAAATCAAAGAAACTGTAGGTCTCTCTCCTAAAATAAAATGTTTTTCTCACTTACGAGGCTTCCGACTCCTTTGCTCTGTTTCTTTTTACCTCTTCTTAGTACAAAAACTTTCAAAATTCAATTTTCTTTCTCATTTTGCATGCCCATTTTGTTTTTAATAGTCATTTAAACTGTAAGAGTCTAGAGCAAAACAAACATTTGGTAAAGGTTTCATGCACACAGAATTATTATGGTGTTCTCTTCACAGTGAATCAAAGTTAGAAAATGTAGATCAACTTCTAAACAAAATGCCCACTCTCTTCATGCCCTACCTCAGTCTTCAATGAGTTTTCTATAGTGAATATTTGATAATTCCTCAGTTATTTTGTATAGAGAAATGTATAGTTATGTTTTACATTCCTTTCGGTTTGATCTTCCTTTTTGACACGTCCTGCTGTACGTGCTTCACGTAAATCTTTAAAATGATCCTCCAATAAAGACAGAAGCCATGCATTACAAAAGTGATCCTGATGCTGACATTGCAGATACTAAAAAGGGGAAATTGTGATTTTTAATATGATTAGTAGTAGTTCTTTTTGTTAAGGACTTATTTCTCTGTCTGCAACTGACATTGTCACTCGATCCAGCAAATTTGCTCTTGGCAATTTTACTGAATTAGGCAATGAAAAGAGGAAAGAATTGAGAAAGGAACTTTACATAACTGACCCCATATCCTTATCCTTGGGCCCCACTGTAACTACAGCTAAAGTCAGCAGGAATTTTTCCAAATATTTAAATTGGTATTGAGTCAGTTGTAGATCTCATTGAATTGCTAAACTACAAAGAACTTTCATTTAATATGCACACTCTTGACGTATTGTCAAACGGCTGGTATGAATAGTCCCCCCTACAACTTGTCAATGAGATACCTAAAATAATAATAATAATAATAATGTACTGTAGATTCTCCCCATATGAAGTATACAAATTTTGCCATATCAGGTAACACACCAAACCACGAACGTTCAAATTAACAAGCTTCTGTACAACAGCTTTTAAAACCCCTAATACTAACTGTACAGCTTTCCTGTGTGAAGCTTCCTTGCTTTTCTGTAGGAATTCTATCTTCAGTCATATTTCCTAGCATTCAGTGAAACTTCATAATTCATTTTGAACTATACAAAGACTATAAGAGTTACACAAACTAAATATGCTTTTTCAGTCCTTTTTGCCCTGAATTCAATATGCACTAATTGATTAGGGTCTGAAAGGTGAATAAGAAATACATATCCTACATAAAAGAAAGCTGGGAAAGGGTTTAATGCATGAATTAGAAGCCAGATTTCTTCAATACAGATGAGTACACAAAATTAGCAAAAGGCAACACCACTTTTGGAAAGACTGCTTTGTGCATAATCTGTCATGAATTCAAAGTTATTCCTTTAGAAAATGAGTCTAAGACCTCCCAGCTGCTGCTTTATTGGTCTAATAAATTACCATTTTGATGGTACAATGCATCTACGCTATACACCATCCAAGCAAGCAAACTGTTAGAACGGCTTCGTCTTTAGAGACGCATGTGTGACTTCAGAGACATGCAAATGCCAATGGGATATCTGAATGCAATGGGGGATCAGACGATGCCTCTGTTCTTGAATTGATAATGAAAACAAAGGATGCATAAGTTTCCAAAACAGTAGAAGTATATTATAGGATTCTTTGTGTCACAGAAAGTGAGTTCAAGTGAACCTACCCTTACTGTAACAGGTATCTAGCAGCTTTCTGAGACAAAACGCATCTATCTTATTCTAGGTTCTCTACACTATCCAAGTAAAAATCTCTTCTATTCATCTGAAAAGAACATTAGAATAAACAAAGAAAATAGCCTCTTCAAAGGATCCATTTCTGACTTAAACTTTGAACCCTATTCTTGTGAAGCTGGGACTCGGGGACCTTAGTTCAAATTTATATTAATGCCTATAGCAGTATAGACTGAACATGTGCTCAGTGTCAGTGCCTTCTACCCAAGGTTATTCCAGCCAGGTAGGCCATAACAAATGTTTATCTTGACTCTCCTTCATAGCTGTGGTTTACAAACATTCATTCAAGGAAAGAACAAAATGCAGAAAAGCCAGGAAGTTGGCGATTTCGCATACCCTACCTTACCTTTCTCCAGTGAACTGTGGAACTCATTATGAGTTCCAACAATCTGACGTTTTGGAAACTTTCCATCATTTACAGGAAAACTCTAGACTCCCTGATTTATTGCCAATACAGAAGTCCTTTGTTACTACAAATATATTTAGAGAACAGTTTAAAATGTCAGTATTCTAACATCATGACAACAATCCTTCACTGATACTTTTCAAAAACTTGCTGAAGGTGGCTGTAAAGAGGAAAACTGGAGGACTATTGGAGGAACGGGTGCAGTAACTTTGATTTGACACTGGCAGAGCAAAGCTTACAAAATAAAAGAGCACAAGAATTTGAGATAGATTTTTGATTTTGTTTCCCACGCACAAAAACAGGTGGTAAGAGCTCCCCTCCAGCTCACATGCACTGCATTACTTACCTGCATTAGAATTGAGCTCTTCATTTTCTGATTCTGTTCCATTTTGACTTCCACTTCCATGAAGGCTATTCATTGCCATAAGTTTCATCTTCTGTAACTTCATAGCCTCTGCCATGGCAGCCGCTGTCAGACCTGGAAAAATATACATAAATAAAATGCAGTATCATATGATACAAATGAAGCACTGAAAAACATGAAGAACAAAACAATTCCATTCACTGAGAGTAAGTCACGTGAATTCAATACACATTCTTAGTCCAGTTATGTAATGTTATTCTATTTTGAGTTTTTTCAGTACATTATTCTAAGGATTTTTTTTTATTTTTTAAAATTATATCATGTTTCTTTTTCTTTTTACATGTACAGCATAAAGAAATATTTATTTAATGGTAACCCTTTTGATTATACTTTTAAATATAATTTCCTGTAACTTTGATCATTTTGTTACTTTGATCACTTTCTGCTTGAGTTATTTAGCTGCTACAGAATTTCCAAGTGCACTAGTAAGATTCAGTATTCCTTAATTTCAACAGCTCAAAGCCAATTAACATGGAACAATCAATGCCATATTATTATATTATATATCCAAATATTATTTTGTCTTTTTCTGAAGTCTGCTGGTTTGGATCAACATCATTGCTACTGGAAAATACTACATTGTAAATGGTACAAAAGTACAATATGGGTAATTACAAACTTGATCCCATCTTTAACATACCATTAAGACGCGCACAAATTTAAAGAATTAAGGGGGGTTAGTGGTAGAAGATTTTCAAGTGACCGAAACCCAATTAATTTCCAATAGTAAAAAAGAAGGAGTAGCATCAGGCTACAGGTTACCATCATTACCATATTGTTTTTATTATTATTTAGATTCCAAATATCTTTTGTTTTTCCATAAGAGTAAACTTCTCAAGTTTTATCATTTTGACTTGGTCAGTAAGGAAGGGATTAGATTTTCTCCCAGATATTATTATTACTTTTACTTCGGGCAAAATGTGAATGAAAATATGTTATCTGAAGTTCATCTGTCTTGCAGGAAAATACAGGGGATATGGCCATATAACCAAAAAGACCTCTACAGGAGTAATTGTTTATTCATTCAGTTATGGATTAAATGGGTTTACTGTCTTCCTCCCAGTATAGTAGGATTTGCTTTTGCCATTTGCTAAAAAGCAAGCTGAATGCTTCATATCAGCTATCTTGTAATTGACTGTGCAACAGTTCCACAAAATCACTGGATTGCATTTACAAAAAAAACCCACGATTTTTTGGTGGTGGTGCATGTTGCATCAACCCACAAAGATATCATACATCAAAACAGAATTAAACAAACTGCTGTTTCTGCAAAGTACTGCTTACTGAGAGATTAGATACTGATTAAAGTGAACTAATAATTTTCATATCCTATACTGCCACACATCCATAAATTAAAATACTTTCTTTTAAAAGCTGCTATGAATTTGACATTTAGATTAGCTCTGCTGCTCCTATAATAGGCTTCACAAAAGTTCTCATTATTTTACTATGACTTAAGTAAGCAAGCAAGCAATAGACTCCAACTGCGTGGAGGAGGGGCACGTATTGTCACATACGGATACAGCAATCCCGTTAACTTCAGCAAAAATATCCCTGATTAATATCAGTTAATTGGAGATGACAGGTTACAAGACGGGAGTTACACAAACCCTCTTCTCTCCAGGCCGTCTGTCCTCCTCCTTCTGTCTCGCCTAAGAGCCTCTCAACATCCAGAAAAACCAACTGCAGTTACACACTCCTATATTCCCAAGGCATTGATGTCGGATCTAACAAATATTACCTACACTAATTAGGCACTTGTTTTATTCTTTTTGTCATTGATACATGAAAACCAATATTGATTTCATTATTAGTATACATTAAATACAAACATAGAAAAAGAAGTCCAGAAAATATAATCAACAAACTTGTCTTTTAGGTCATTTAATGCCATCCTCAGTTCATACAGAGTATCACTATACTGTAACACAGTCAGTTTTTATTTAAAAATATTAATTTTTCTAACACCCTTTAAATTTCTTTTGCAAATGCTACAGGGTTTTTTATCAAGCAGATATAAAATCCTGATGCTTAAACTCCTGTTTTTACAAATTCTCTGGCTGACATCACTCACACTTAATCCACCAAAGAATATATCTTCAATGATAAAACTGTTCACACACTTTCTGGAGAAGATGAAATGGTCTATAAACTTTTCCAGTTCCTATCTAGGGAAAGGAAGTGGGATTGCTCTTTGAGTGAATTTCACATTATTTTCAGGAAGTTAAACAAACTAGCATCAGCACGAGTCTTCTGAGCAATTTACTGTTTTTAAGATTTCTAGGAATCTGAGTGATTTGCCTGCCAACCTCCACTTCGGCACTTTTCCTCCTTATCCCAGCCAATTCCAAGTTTTGAGGCACAGCCATCACTGAAGCATGTTCAGAACTTGTACACACTCTCTTTTCACTTTATACTTCTAATCCATTTGCAAAGAATTCACATTCATTTTAAAGGTTACAAAAATATAGAGTCTGAACATGGAGTTTTTTATCATAACATTTTATCATTTCTATGTACCCAAATACATATAGAAGAACCAATATCCCAGTAAATATTTTCATCTGGATCAGTATTTATACAGGTTCTTGATACTAGAAGTCATAAAACTTTATTTAGTTTAAATATACAAAAGAGTAAAGAAACTATTCATAAGGAGATAAACAGGGAACGAACAGTGAATTCAGACCTTTAGTAAAATGTTCAGAGAAAAGACAAGACAGAAAATTATCCAGGGCACTGTATAAAACAAACAAACAAACAAAACCCCCAAAAACTTCTACTGAACAGTTGTATCACAAGCGTAACGAAGGCAGAAAGGGTACTGAGGAACAAACAGAAAAGAATAAACAGTCCCAAAATCACCATGATGCCGCCTGCAGAAATTAAAGGTAATTATTGTCAGGCATTTTTGAGCTCCCTAACCAGACACAGCTGCCATAAGGACAACAGCCAAAAAACAGTGATGTATCAGAAATCTATGCTGTGCCATCTGCCACACCAAAGTCACTCTACTTCACCATTAAAAGTTCAAAGAGTAAAGCACAATCCTGATGTAGATAGCACTACAGCCCAAAGATCCTGAGCAGTCAGGCATAAACTTGAAGCAGATATAGCCAATATTATCTCTAAGTTCAGTATCAGCAAAGTCTTTACACTCTCATTCACTTATTCCCCGGTCTATGTAATTTCTTACTTGAATTGTGATAGCAGTAAAAGCCCCAGAATCTGACTGTATGAGGCACTTTAAAAACAGTGTGCTAATTCTTCAGCACTTCTGAAAGCTAATAAAACTGAGGTTAAAGCAAATGGCTCCAGCAGCAAGAGTGCGCTACGGACTGAAATGATGGAAGAAAACATACAGCAAATCACCCATTGGCATAATCTTCAATTAAGGCTACTGCTGCGGCTAACATTACTAAAGCTACTATTTAATTTAACTATTAATAAAACTCCTTTCTATAATTGACTCAGCTCCGGCTAGCTGTGGCAAAGAGGGCTATTCTTCAAGTGACTTATCTGAAGATCTACAAAGAACTGAAGAATCATTTCTATCCTCTCAGATGAATCATTATCAGCAGCAGAATCTCACTTAGAGTACCTCACTTTGAAAAATGTACTTGAAAACTGCTGTAACGTATACATCTATCCCTCTACCTTCACCTTAAAAAAAAAAAAAAAAGATCACTAGGAAAAGCGACATGCTGGATTACACACGTCAAAGCTCCCATTTTTTTCTCCCCATTTACACGTTAAATTTCCCTTCTTTCAGTTATCTTCTGCCAGCTGTGATTAATCACTAAACGCTCGGGAAATAAACTATGGACTGCTTATTATCAAACACGTACAACCTTTACAATGCTAACAACAATAACAAAAAAGCATGAGTCTCATCACAGTTGCAACGATTTGTTTTCAAAACTGCTAGTAACCGTGTGGCCAGTGGAGCTAGTCCTGCTAGCCCACAACCCACTGGCTGCCGTGACGAAAGACAGCAGGTCCTGAAGAGCTGGTAGGGACCTTTAAGAGAGACACATCAGCGCTAACGCAGAAATCTTGGAGCCATGTTCTGGGTCAGCTCTCTATATATGAATCTTGATTACAATTGCATAACAGATTGTGATGGTGTGCGCTCAGGTACACCTGCATCGTGCATATGGCAAAACAACCAACTGCCATTAGTAATCTTCATTCCGTAATTTCAGTTTTGTCAGGACACAGTGTACTCTCCCTTTGACAAGTCTGCATAACTCTGCTGTACAACACACGAATTTAGCCCTGAAATAACCCTTCAAGGACACACAAACCAGCACACTTTACGCTCAGGTTGCACCAAAGTAAAATTCTGCCATTATATTCTGAGCCATAGTTAAAACATACCTCAGCACCAAATAGTTTTCAAATTAAGGTCTTTGATCCAAATTAGGATCATACTCGGCTTACTCAACACGGCACGCCACATTGGTCTGGGGCAGAGCCACTGCCTGTGGGGCACTGGAAGGTGGAAGGGACCTGAATGTACTGTGAGGCTTGGTTGCTTCTGGGAGGGCTGGACCGTGGGTGCAAACACGTTCTCTGCTCCTAAAGCCAAGGCACCTGTAGTATTTGAGAGGGTGTGAAGACCAGAGAGGTTTCTCCATCCCTCTTCTGCATCCTATTAAAGTTATTGGTTAATTGTTTACTCAACTGTCCCCTACACAGACTACTGAAGATTATTGCTCTATGAAGCCTCAGGAATTATTTCAACAAAATAAAGCATTTTTACTGCATGGCCCAAAGATCACAACTCCAAGGTCATTTGTAGTGTATCCCCCTCAGGGCCAGTATCCCATTACAGGGCAGCACTGAACCCACCCGCTTCACTGAGCACCAGGCAGCAAGGGGACAATGTCTCCTGTCTGGAGTAAACATCACAATCTACTGATTAGCAAATACCTTCTCGGATACATAAGAAACCAAAACTCAATTACATTCCCGCACTGAGCTACCTAGGGTGTCTTGCATGCAAGGGAATCCTCCATGTTTAACTAATGTCCAGTCATTGAAAATTGGAT